GTTTTTGTTTTCTTTTAATCTGCCTCATTTTAACTGATAAAAATGCTGACACTGCACTGAAAGGTGTGCAATAGCCTGGGGACTCCTTCCGTAACACCTCTGCGTATGTCTCGTGTTTCTGTGCTGCATCCCAAACCCGTAAGCCATGAGCAAGAGTATCTCCTGCCCAGCTCCTGTCCCTGTCTTTGCCAGCAGATGAGGGTAATAACACTTTCTAAAAGGAGACTGAAGTAAATATATTTCCCCCCCCACCTTTTTTGCAGTTTGAAATGATGCATTTTTATTTGGCACCTTCTCTTAATATCCTGGGATACTGGTATATCCATATACTATCCATCTTTAAAACTACTTTGCCATTTGGGGAGGGGAGCATGATGGAAAAGTCCAAAATACATATCCTTGAAATAGGTAATAATTTTGAATTTTGTGAAATTTCCAAACCTATTCAATGCACGAAAAAGTTTAGATAATTGAGCTAAATGATAGTGGTTAGCAGTAATATTGGAAGCAAAATTGATATTCTGATGTAACAATTTGTTCTCATATTAAAAATAGCATTTTATTTCTCTGCTTGTTTCACTAGCTGAACTCCCAAACTCTACAGTAAAAATGTCACATTTTTTGATTGCGGGTGGTGTAGTTCCCCAGGTTCATGTGCGTGACTTGTTGACTGAGTAGAATGCACATCAGTGTCTGACATGGAATACGAAAGAAATAAGCTCTGGTTTCCTTAATAGAGAGTGCATCTTCAGTCTTCCAGAACAGAAATACAGACCTAAACCCTGCAGGAGAAGACCAGACAAACCAGCATATCAATATGAAAGCCTAAATAGAAATAATAATAATTAGCACTGAAATACTAATGATAGTAGTGAGCATTTTAAAGACTATTTTGCTTAAAATCTAATTTTACTTTGATTTGTATTCTGTAAAATGGTGGTAATGACAGAAACACAGCAGTCCATGTGCATCTGCAAGTGGAGCAAATAGATGCAATCTTCTGTTGATAACTTCAGTACCCTCAACTTTGCCAGTAGTATTGGGGCGAACACAACTGGTTTTAAAATTGCAGGATTTAATTTCCAGAGAGATTATTTTAGCATATGTACTTTTTCTTTTTGAAGTCAACTAGGTTTTTACAAGAATCTTCTCATTATTATTATTTAGATATGGTAAAATTATATGGAATAGTTGTATTTGACGGTACAGTCACTAGCTATAGTAATAGTGCTTTGAAATCTATGTTTCATTTAATTAAATTTTGAAGTGTCCTTTTCAGGTATTTTTAATGTCTGTCTTTATACAGATAACCTGAATGCTGTTTAAAATCCACAGGTCCCTGCTTTATGTAGGTTTATGTTAATCAGGCTTTGTTTTACAAATTTGACATTCTAAAGTGACTTGGTAGATTGAAAAGAAAATAATTATACCTGAAGTCTTTTCTGGGAAGTTCTTTTTCTAGTGGATTATAACTATAGAAGATAATGAAAGTATTTATGTAAATGGATTAGGCACCAAAACTTTCAGAAAAGCTGCTTTTCTGAGATTCTGAACTCTTTGTGTCTTAATCCTGTGAAGATCTTCATATTCCCACAAAAAGTTGGACATAGTTCCCGTTGCAGGAGTGCTGACAATCTGGGTCCAGCTTGTGAAACAGTTCAGTGCTCTGAAAGCTGCTGCTATATCTTCATTCTTCACTTGACTCTGGGAACTATTTTACAGAAGTGCCTCGAAATTGTCAGCTAACTTGCAGCACTGAAAAGCTGAGATCACTTAAAATGGCGTGTATTATATGTATATAAATAGAGGAACAGAGCCAGGATTTGTGGCACATTTGAAGATACTCACTTGACTACGGAAGATGAAGAGCATCCTTGTAGCAGTCAAAGTGGTTATGGCTTCTAAACAGTTTACGTGCTACTTGAAGCTCTATTGAATTTATGGGGAAGAGGGAAGTCACGGAACTCTTGAAAATTATTTTCTACCTCAGCTGTGGTCAGGGCAAGGCTACAGGGCACTCTTGCTGTAGCAGCTGCAACCTGGCAGTGAAGTACAGGTTTTGGGGCTTAGGTGGTGCAAGACGAAGGTAGGAGAGGACGATAGCTGTGTTTATTACATGCTGTGAGCTAGTGTGCACAGAGCCCTGCCTTGGTTTGCATGAGGAGTCAGTTGAGAGCTTATGGGTCAGGATTAACAGGACCACCAATGTGGAAGACACTGTGGTAGGTTTCTGCTGCAGACCATCTAGTCAGGAAGAAAAGGCCTTCTTCAGACAACTGGAAGGAGCCTCACATTCACAGGCCCTTGTCTTCATGGCAGGGCTTCAACCACATCAATATCTGCTGGAGGGGTCAGCACAGGAGAGCACTAAAGATTCATGGTAACCTCCTGACACATGTGGCTGAGGAGCAGAAGAGGAGACATGCTGTGCTGGACCTCCTACTTACAAACAAGGAAGAACTGGTTGGAGATGTGAAGGTCAGGGGGAGGTGTTGGCTACAGTGGCTATGAGATGGAGTTGAGGATCCTGAGAGGAGAAGCAAGACAAAAAGTGGGATCACAGCCCTGGCCTTCAGGGGAGACAACTTTGGCCTGTTTAGGTCAAAATCTGCTTGGAAAAATCCTGTGGCATGGGATACACTCCTGGAATGAAGAGGGGTCTAGGAGAGCCCAAGATTGGTCTGTCTTCACTTGCAGGAATCCATGTACTGGCATTCCAGAGGTTGTGTCATATGAGTGCAACTTTTTAATTAGGGGCAACTAGACCTCAATCACCTTGTCTGGGTGTCAGTGTTGTCTGCTAGGGAGAGAGTCTAGTATGTGTTTAACTTTGTGCAGTTCTTTAAGAGTTCGTAGGCTGGCGAAGTAGCTGCTATGTGTTCTCTGAACGTGTATTTGTACGGTGTAATGCCTGTTACCTTTAAGCTTTTAGTTCAATACAACTCTTCCAGGACATGGGTTTTAAAAATTAACAACTGTCATGTTCTGATCAGGCGGTTAAAAAGGATGTCTAATAATAAAGTCAGATTAACAGCACCCTTGTTCAGGTGCTCAGGCCTTGGAATGAAAATGTCCTGTTGACTGCAAACAAGAGGTGTGATCTCTACAAAAAGGGCACAGAAATATACAGTGTCACTTAAAATGCGTAGAGGTGTACGCTAACCTTTTTTGCACTGATTCTTTGAGAGAGACTGTGGTAGCTTTGAAAACCTGTCTTATCTGCTCCCTGTTTGATCGTCTCTTTCTCAGGTAAACAGAATAGCTTCAGACCTCTCCAGGCTCCATAACTGACAGCAAGTGAGGTTCCTGTTTAATGGATTGTTTAGAGCTTAATTTCCCCTCTGTTCTTTGGGGAATTGGTGTCTCTGAGAAAATACTTGCGTGCTCGATGAGGACAGAAACTTTATTGCAGTGGTCCAACAATCTGAATACAATTGTGACACTATATGAGAAACTTCAAGCAAATGGCCCATTCAGAAGCCTTATGTAACTGTGGCAGGTTTGAGTTTCCAGCAGATTTGAGTTTGCCTTTTTGATTATCATCTGATGTGAGAGGAGGCTTAGAGTTTCAAGTTCACAATAAACCTATTGAGAGCAACTCTTTCATTAGCTTGAACAGTATCTGCAGAGTTCTCTTCATCTTTGGCTTTAGTAAAAGAAACTATTTAAACTTAACCAACAAGCAGGGATCCTGGAATTATAAGCAGAGTATCATTTTGTTTTGATAAGGCTGTCTATTACTTTGGGCTCTATCTGGAGTTCTTAAATGACCCTGTTTATCTCTTCTGCATGGTGGAACTTTTAGTACTGTTCCGTGCAACTTGCTTATTTTTTAAGACTTCAAATTACTTTTAACCCACTTACTGTGTTAAAAACTCTGTCCCTGGGCATTCTTGCCACAGAGTCTGTCTGAAGCTGTGGGTATTAAATGTAAATTTTGGATTATATTAAATGTGTAGCCTTTTTGCCTACCCTTACGTGCAGTTCAGCATAACAGGAAGGACAGAATGAAGTACTGGCAGGTGGGAGAAGGTTAGAGTTGGAAAAGTGCAGGTATTTTCTGTGTGTTTTAAGGGGACAACTGAGGTTTTGCAAGTTTTGGATGCTGTTTGGATTTTTTTATTTTTTTTTTTAAACCCTTCCAAAGAATCCTGAAAACAAGCTGGCTTTGTTTCCCTGTTTTATTCTTGTAGACTGAAGTCTTTCCTGTTGATTGTGGCATCCACTCTCCCACAATCCCATGTTACTCTCCTGTGTCCTCATTGCTCACAGACTGGTGGACTTCTGCTTGCTCTCCTTCAGGGGGATAACTTTGAAATTGTAGTGACTGCAGATTGTGTCTCTTGGCTCATACATGTGAAATTTCACACAATACTGCAGAGCTGGACATTCTCAATAGCTTTGGGAGAAGTTCTGATAGCGTGCATTCTACTTCAGAAATCTTTCTCAGAGTTGAAATGAATAGAGGTATTTAAGCTTTTGAAGTGTGAGGGTCAGTGAGAGTTGTTTCAGTGCAGGTTCCAGAACTGTACCTTGGAATCTGTTGCCATACTTCTGGAGATTGTAAGTTTATCTTCTCTTGAGATACACCTATTCAATTCCATCCTGTCCGAGAGAGAATACTGACTTCGGTCATGTGAGATTCTCTTAAAAAAAAAAAATAAAATGGAGACCAGGTCTTATTCCTCCATACTGTGTTATCTCTGTGCATGAGTAAAAGTCTTTATTTTAGACAAAGCAGAATCATTTTTTTGGTGTTAAATCTCCTGTGATGTGTGGTGGTCCATCTTCTGCTATAGAAAACTCTTGGGTTTTCCATTTCTTTATATGCGGGAAAGTATTTTCGTGTTATGGCTCACTGGTATATATCTAGGCTGATTAAAATAGATGATTTGTGCTGAGTTCTAGGTGTCAAGGTTGGATCAGTGAAGTCTGAAATATATGGATAAATAACTATTGAACTGGAAGATTTCTAATACTGACTTCTGTTTTTGTTCCAGGAATGTACTCCGGAGAACCTGGAACTGAAAAAGAAGATTTTTGGTCAGTTAGATCTTATTGTTGGTGACAATGTTATCTTGAGCAGCTCGACCTCTTGTCTCTTACCCAGCAAACTGTTCACTGGCCTTAAGCATGTTAAGCAGTGTATTGTGTCACACCCTGTAAGTATGATGGCATGTTTTGTTTTTGTGGTAGTACAGCTGTTTAACTGAACTGCATCCCAAACTCTTCCCTGCAGACTCAGAGATATAGAAGGATATTTGGAGTGCTTGTGTGCCTTCGTTAGGGTGCAGGGGCTGACTTACCAGAAGAGCTTTAGTTTGTGAGCAGCAGCCTCTACTAAATTGAAAGGACATATGCATGTTTCATACTGTTGGCTCAAGGTATATGCTGTGCAAGCTGTTGTGTTCATATTGTTGTGTGTTACTCAAACTACTGGCTCTCAAAATGTAGGAATTCTGTGTTTTGAAGACAAACCTATTAAATTCCCTACTTTCTTCTGGTGGTATCATTAGTCTTTTCTAGTATCCTTTTTCAGCTGCCATTGGGTAACAGTAAAGATCCAAACAGTGAGCTGCATCTGCTTGTCAGGTACTGTTGGTGAAAGATGGAAGCTTTTGACTCTGATTTCTTCAGATGCCTGATGCAGGACCAGTATACCTGAAGAGGAAAAGCAGATGGATGCAATGAAACAAATTGTACTTGAAGCTGAATTTGCATGCTTTGTGACCAGCTGGGACAGGGCAGCGAAGCAGAAATGGCATGACTAGAGGTGGCAGCAGAACCTCAGAATGCTGAAGGGCATTGTGAGCCTCTGTAGAGGTCTGTGTGGGCCTGCCAGACGGCGGTGTATCACATCTTTCCTCAGCACGGAAGAGCATTTTGTCTTGATCACTGGGATTCTTACTGCTGCTGTTTTCCGCTACTCAAAACTAATAAATTTGTTAGGTTGATGTTAGTCTGGTGTGTGACGGATCTGTCAAGAGGGCTGTTGTTACGAAGGTTTGCAGTATCTGGAGGAAAGTACTGCTCTGCTGTCTGCAGTTCGGTAACTACATGTGGTCTCTCCAGCACATCCTTCAGGCTGTAAAATGAATGTCAGTTCCCTGGGCAGCTCAAGGGTGACAGTGTGAGTACAAAAATACAGCAGTACTTTACTGTAATGTCCCTACAGGTACCTGTAGCCTAATGCTGCCATGTCAAAGCATTTGGTCAGTCCCTTTCTGACACCCCTTTACCACCACCATTGTGCCTTGAGGTGACTGGGAAGCAAAAGGAACAAAAGGATTGGTTTCTTTCTGCGTAATTAGTTTTCAACTCCCCCCCTCCTTTTTTTTTTTCTTTTTAATTAAAGTCAGACTTCAAAGCATGTTTCTGTGCCTAGGTTTAGCCTTTCTCCAGTCTAAAATTCAGTAGTTCCTTATCTCATATTTCCAGGGTTGTAACTTTCTGTAGAGCAAGAGAAGAGATAATGTCTATTCTAGACTTCTGTATTAAGTAAGTATAGCTATGATATTTTTTTTTTTACCAATTCCTAGACTTCTGCCTATTCAGTGTTTGATTTTTACATTACTCTTTCTTACTGTTTTCCCAAGTTAGTCTGTATGAGTTGACTTGTTTAGTCTGAGATGCAGTCTTAATAGGAGCCACTTCTGAAACGAGGTTTTGTCAGCTTTGGAAAGGTAGCTAGTCCCTGCCTAAACATTTTCTAGGTTGCTGTTGTAAGGATATCTGTATTTTCCAAAGCAAATGCTCTGCAGTGCCTTAAAATGTCTAATTGTTCTGAAATGGCTTTGCAATCCAACTGAGATTATTTTCTTAGTAATCTCATCTTCACTCAAAGGGGAGCATACTGGAGAAGCTGTGAGCCAGTGTACTCTTCCAGGGACTTTTCTGCATGTGTTATATCGGGAAACATGCTTGCTTTGTAATAGTTGTTGGCTTTTGGTGTTTTTTATTTTAACCATGGCCTTACTCTAACCTTGAACATGACGGTACGACATGGGGAATGGGGGCTGCAGGAAGCAAGCAGCTCTGCAAGACACTGTGAAAACAAGATGTGTGGAATTTGATATACCAAAAAAATAAAAAGCTAAAGTTGTAAAGCCTCTGGCACAGGTGAGCGTGTTGAAGAGAAATGAAATGAAATACCCAAAGGGCAGAAGGAGCTCATCTCTTTGCTTAACATAGCAATAAGTTCAGTAATTAGAAAAAATAAATGAAATCCCGTAGCATAGCTGTATGATAGAAATGCATGCAATACTTGTAGGTACAGCTGTTCTCTCAGGCAGTGTATTGGTAGAGGTCTTCTGCAGAGGTGTTTGTTTCTCATGGACTGTACACACCTGCTAGGTCACACAGCTAGAAATACGGAGCTAGAGGAGACTGTGTGCCATTGAGTGAAGTCCCTTGCTGAACAAGAAATGTAATATAATCAAATTACCTTAAAAATGTATTAAACTCTGTTAGATTTTTTTTTTAACTCCAATAATCTTGTTTGAAGTAGTCTGTTTCTTCTAATTTTTGTTGCAATCTTATTAACAGTCCATTAAAATTAATTTGATGTTTGTCGGCAGGTTTTGTGTAGCTGAATTCTTTCTCTGTGTTTACTTTGTTAGATCCTTTCTTAGCTTTCATTTTATTAGGCTGAGTAAGGTAAGCTCTTCTGCCTGAAGAAAGGCTTCTCATTTTTAGAAACCTTCCCCCACACCCAGTTTGATCCTCGTTTTACCACTTTCGGTTTTTACCAACATCTATTATCTCCTAAAAAATCATCTTCCTAAGTCTTCTCAGTGTGCTCAGGAACGCACCCATATACTACCCTTGCCAAATTCATGAAATAGAGTATTTCAGTAAGATGACTGTCAACACTAATCTTGGAAGAAATTTATAATAGCCTCAGTCTCTCTCAACAATTAACTTGTCCTCTTCCTGATGGGAACCTGTGATATACTTGAGGGTTAGAAAGGTGTTTTGGGTCTTGCTAAATTGCCTGGCACCACACCTGCAATGGTGCCCATCACGCTGTTCTTAGCGTCGGTGGTGGCACTGCCAGAGACTGATGTGAGAAGGGTTATGTTAGAACACGAGGCACTTTAAAGGGAATGAGGTGTGTTACACTGGTAGTTTTAGAGCAGATGTAACCCACGTCAGGTTGTACGTTGGTCAGACCCTACAGTAAAGGGAACCATGGAAGTACTGAAAAGCAAGAACATGCCGAGAAGAAAGACTGCTTGCACATTGCTGTGACTAAATCCTGTACTTGCATTTACTTGAGCAGAGTTAAGAGCAGTTGTCTATGAGGGAGGATGGTGAAAGAATCAGTACTTAATTACCATCCTTTAAATGTCAATGTTATTTCTGGTAGTAATTTGTGCTATGTTAGCTCCTTTTATTGCCTGGAAACTAGACTGAGAGCTAAGTTTAACACCTTAAGAATATGGCTGAAGGACTGCTGCTTTTGGAAAGAGCATGCGGGGAGTGTTACGGCCTGTAACACTGTGACCCAAAGAAATTTTAGCTGTTTATAGGGTGCTCTTTAGAATTTTTTCTTTATTACTTCAAAAATACATTGCACAAAGATGAGAAATTACATTTGGGAAGAGTCGGGAGAAGTAATTTTTTAATATTTTTTTTTTTTTTAAGTAGGTACAGTGTTTGAAGGTAACCTGTTCTGCAACTTTTTCGAAGTATGTTTTATGTGATATCTGTTACTGTATTTAGCATATATTTGCAGGCTTGGGCCAGTAGCAGCTTATCTATTAAGTGTTGCATCTTACAGGTGGTGTTTAGCAATAATCTTGTCATATAGTTCCTGAATATCTAAAAGCAAATGCCTTGCTTCATTTGGAAAGACAGGTGATGACCAGATGTCTTACAACAACAAACAGCCTGAATATTGAGAAAACATCAGTTTTCTTGACAGTTACTCAAGTCAGTATAAAATCTTCTGGTACTGTTTGAGTGCTATCATCTTTAGTGTAGCTCCATGAACTTTACTGGCATTAAGCAGAGTTAGATTTAATGCAAGATGAATTATTTTTTTTAATTTGAATTAATACACCAGCTTTTAGTGGATTGGTGAAGTCTTTCAGGGTCTGAAGATCAGGCTTACTGTGTTTACTGGAAAATACCCACGCTAGTAGTAAGCTATAAAGATGCTTTATATTAACTTGTTCTGATAATCTCTTGATAGTTGACATTCTTCTTTTGTGTTTCCTCTTGAGGTAAATCCACCTTACTTTGTGCCGTTGGTTGAAATTGTTCCTCATCCAGAAACAGATCCTTCTACTACAGAGAGAACATATGCCCTGATGAAGATGATAGGTCAATCTCCTGTCAAACTGAACAGAGAAATTGAGGGGTTTGTTCTGAATCGGCTCCAGTATGCAGTGATAAGTGAAGCCTGGAGACTTGTGGGTGTATGTATTTATTTTTTTTTTTCCAATTTCTATACACACACACAGTGCCAGTTTTGTAGATGTGACAAGCAAGATTGTATATTTATATTCCCTATAAATTTGTGTCATCTTTGTTTAAACTGTCCCTTATATGTTAACATGTAAATTAAAAGCAGTAAGAAGTGATGTCAGTTATAAATAGCAAAGACTAACAAAACCAAAGTAATATGATCATAACAACTGTCCTTTATCCTGCTTTCTTTTCAGGTTACTGTCATTTTCAGGACAATCAAAAGAACAATCTTCAAAGTATAGAAATTAAAATAATGATTTTTCTTTTTTCTAGGTTATCTCATCATTTCCCGTTATTTTTTGAATGTTGCTGGCATACTGTTCAGTGGTTATGAAAATAATATTTTAATTTTTTTTCTCTTTGGTCTTTCAGGAATTGCACTCATAGGTTCAACAGTTATTTGATACTTGTAGTAAAGACAGATTTCTCCTCCTCCTGCCCATTCAGACTTCCAGCTGAGAATCATTTATTTGTGCCACTTGAGCTTTTCTCACAGTTACCTGTTGCGTGCTGCAAAGTCTGATCTTTCATCAGGAAGAGCTGAATTATGAGTCTATTGCTATTCTGTTGAGAAGAGATTCAGTTGGGCTTGAGTAGAGCTTACTTTTTTGTCACAGGCTGTGTTTTGATTTTTCAAGCTGTTTAAAACAACCATGCACACATAGGTAAAGATCTTAAAACTAAAGTAATAAATAAATAATTGTAAACAAAGCAACTCTTTTTCCAAAGCAGGATGTAAACATAGTTGCTGAACTGATTTTGCTTACCTGTAGTTAGCTTCCACTAGCAACACAATACAACAGTATGAAGGAGGTGGTGAATAATAACAAGTAAAACAATGCTGGTAGGAAGGAACTGATCTACTGGATCTACTGGATTCTACTGGAGATGTTTCTTCAAATTAAAAAAAAGGATTCTGTTATTAAAAAAAGTTAATACAAAGTCTTAAGTATGTGATAAAAAAACACTTTCAGAAAGCTGTAGTCATGTTGAAAGACACAGGATAGAAAGGATAGTAACCTCTTTATTATTTTTGAAACAGTAATAACACTGATGAAAAAAATTTTTTTTTTGAGACTAAAAATGTAGAAATGACTACTAAAAAAATGTGAACAAGGAAAGTGAGTTCATGGGGTAAAAGCCAGCTGAACTGCAGTGTTCACTGTTCAGGAGGTTCCCACAGTGTAACCTTTCCTTGAAAGGAAGGGATCTGACATAGAAGTAGAATAAGTCATGCTGAGAACAAGATTTTTGGAGGAGGAAAGAGGAAATGAATAATGACAGGCTGAAGGAGAAATGGAACTTATCCAAGAATCCAAAAACTCAGATATGAAGTTGATGAAATGCTAATTTAGGCACCTCTTTACACAGCAGCTAGCATAATAGTGCAGAAATGGAAGTTAGCACTTACACTGTAGCTCTTTTTTAAAAGAGTTCAAAAAGTTATTGGGAAACTATTTATATAATACCCTTGGTCAGCACAGGTATCCAGGGAAGTAATGCCTCAAAAATCTAGTAGGATTCTTTCATGTCTCTGAGAGGCATAACCGGAATTGTGGAAGTTGCTGACCATACAGAAGTAACCTTCAACTGTCGAAGTCTCAAAGACGGGACTGCTAGGAGCTGAGGCAGTACCTATCACTGAAAGCATCACTCTCTATTGGGTCTTTGGTTATGGAAAGAGTATAAGAACACTTCATGGGCTACTGTTGGAAAAGAGGTATCGATTTGAGGTGAACCCTCAGTATGACCCTGTGTGGATGCTTTGGGGGGGGGGTGATACATGAATATTAACAAAATCGTGCTTGAAGCACTGACAAATAGCGCAAGTTGCTTTCATTGTGCATCATCAAAGTTTCCAAGTTCTTTGGTTTTGTATAATTTTCTTGCTTTTATGGCAAATAGACATTTAAACTTAACAGCTTTGGCTGTATTTCCATTCCAAAAGCCTGGACAGATAGCAGCTACCCCAGGTGTATGGTTTCAGCTGTGTGACTTCGGGCTACCCACTGCCTGCGATGGGGGGAGAATCACTGCAGATAGGCGAGAGCTGCAAGCCTGCGGCAGTTTCTGTGTTTCTACTGTTGTGCTGCCAATTTAGTCCTTTTTATTGCAAGTCGTGTTCTTTTGGTATTTCCCACTTTCAAAGTGGGGAAAATACTTCTTGCTTCTGATTAAGTCACTTTTTGGTTCTTATTGTTGAAAACGTGAGCCTCCCTCAAATCTCGGTCTTTGAGAGGCTCCTAAAAGCAAGTTTTACTGACATTGATTCCTTCCCATAACAAAAGTTTTCCTTACCCTAAGAAGCACTGCGAGTGGAAGATAAACCGCAAATGTTAGCAGGAGGGAGACTTGTTAATAAGGCATTCTTGTCCAAAATGACCACGCTATTAATCCTTTTGTGGTTAGATATGTACATTGAATGTATTGGATGAGGCAATCCAAGTCAGCTTGGATGCGGAACACAGACATTCTTATGAAATTACTTATGAACGCTGTGGTATTTTTATGCTGATAATTGTATATTGCTTTTGACTATTGTAAAAGAACAATGAGGCAGAACCATAAAACGTCATTTCAAGCTTACTTGTTTTATTAGTGGTTGTAAAGGTCTGAGCAAGTATCTTTGTATGCCTACAGTTACAGGTCATAAACTGATCAACGCTCCTATTTCTGTTATAAGTTTTCTTTAATTTTAACGTGGTGAGTGCTTGAGAAAACCTTGTGTTGTTGCTGGAGGACTGTTGTATTTCACTGCGGTGTATCAGTTCTTTGCTACATAACAAGGACATAAATATTCCAGATATAAATGCTATGTGTGAACCAGGAGAGAAACATAGCAGCAGTCTCCAAGTGTTTTGAAGCCACCTGAAATGATCTTAAATCAGCCCCTTTATGCAAACAATTATCTGGGGTTTTTTGAGGACTTTGCTGAGATGCAAGCTTGAAAGTTCTCATCTGTGTCCTCGCCTCAAAAGTATTTATAATAATGGCAGAGGCACGATCTTATACATGCACACATGTGTACATACACTTTTTATCGAAGTCCAAGTTCAGATACCTTTGCATGGGCAGTTTTTTTGTCTTTTTGGGGGTTGGTTGGTTTATTTTTTTGGTCAATTGAGCTTATTTCATTTGAGAAACTAGTGGAAGCTTCTCTGGTAGAAGTATTAATGTACACTTAAAGTGTTGGTGGTAGGACAGACATGCAGGTACAGCTGTACTAACAACATGTATCTGGAAAACTTAACCGCAAATGGACTGAGCAGCTTGCAGGATATGTTCTAGTTCCCAAATGTAGCTCAGCAAATGAAGACCTGTCAGTGTCTCTTCTCTTTAGCTGTGCTGTGTTGGAATGTGTGATGGGTGAGGCATGGGATAGGGATCATACAATGGGAGAAGGGCTCTGATGCAGAGCATGAACATGAACATGGGGCTATATAGAAAGCAATGTGGTAAATACAGCTGCTTGCTGGATGCTAGAGCAGAGAGAGAAGTGTAATTCAGAGCAAAGTGATGAAAGTAGCACTGAGAAACCTGGGTACTGGGATACAGTTTGGCTTTGCCAAAGGTGCTGGTGTCCCCAGGAGCATACACAGGGAGGCTGGGATTTTGAAGATGGGCACAAAATGAGTGCTGTGAATGCAGGACTGGGCAAGTGTGGGAGTGGGAAGTATGGAGTTAGGGTGGTGAAAAATTAGGAGGCCTGAAGGTTGAGATCCCGATTTGTAGGAAAGTAGGAGGAATGAAAACTCATTTGGAGATATGCAGTTGGGTGCTGAGAACTTTGGCCATGTGAATAATTAGGAATGTGGATTTAAGGATGCAGAAGTTTGACTTCAAAAGAACTTTGAAGCAAAGACCATAGATTCATTTATGGGCCTAAAAGAAGGAATTCCAGCAAGTGCTCCCCTTTGAGGCAAGAGTGCTTCAATGAGATGTTTCATTTTGGATCCGAGTTAGTCTTTTGTGTGACAAGATGTCTTTTATGTACATTGTTTTGACTTGCAAGTCATGAGCACTTGGGCAATGCAGGTGTTTGGCAGGAACTTTTTGGATCAGTTACCTCTGTTTCCCCATCCTCCACATTTATTCTATGAAAAAGCAGATACTGGGAACACTCCAGTCTGTCTCTTCAAGGTCATGTATCTGAGAACTTCTTGTAGGACCACATAGTGTGTGTGAGACTGACGTTCTTGTAGGTTTCTTATTTATGTTTTTACTTCTTAGGTCTCTGGTAGAAGTGTTGCAAAGCTGATGATGGTGTGAGTAAAAGATGTACTGTGAGATGTTGAAGATCCTTATTCCTCTTAGTCCTAAATTTTGATGTTACCAGTTTGGAACTGGTAGAATAATCTGTAGCCAGTAATAGGAAAAATACTTCAAACAGCTTTCTGTGTTATTCCCTGTTACCATTTATTTACTTTCTCATGCCTCCATTGACAGTGGTCACTGGTGTATCTGATTTTGTTCATAACTCCTTGGAGCAGAGACTTACTGTCTTTATTTGCCTAGGAAAGACCCTGTGCACTGCTGACACTATTGCTTTTGTACTTTTAACAGTACTAATACATTCTATAGTAGCTTGGGATTATATTGCAAAAGAGTGTTAGTTAAATAGCTTGACTTTGTCTTGTTCTGAAGGTAAAGTTTTGGTTGACTTCATCTGGAAAATAGCAACCAAACAGTTTCATCAACGCTTTAGCTGAGAAGTCTCAAACCTTACCCTGAATATCTAGGACTGTCCTTTTACTGTGGATTACTGTGTGGAATGTTATCTTGGTGAAATATTTTCCTAAGCATCACCTGGAATTTGCAAGGAGGTCATGAAATATAGCAGAAGAGATAGGAGAACACGGCAGTTTTTCAGCCTTGATCTAATTTAAGAGTTTCAGCTGCTTTTAAGAACCTGTTAAAACTATTTTGCGTGATGGATCATGATAAGTATCTTAAGAGTCTCTATTTTCCTCTCTCTAAGCTTTTGATACTACCTTATTGTATTTTTTTTTCTTTAAAAGTGAGTTTTCTTTTAGGGTTATAGTGGTTGTAAAAGACAAGAAGAATGGGGAGCCCTTCCATTTTGGTTATTTTTTTTGAAAATAAACATTCATGGTTTGGCTGTGTGTCCATTTTAGTTTGTTTTCACAGCAATCGGGTACGTTGGCTTCAGTCCCTAATTTATGTACCTCTCCCTTCTCAGGTGGCTGGCTTGGCAGTCCTTAAATGCTGGCAAGACTTTCAAAATTCCAAATTCCATATTATTAATAATTGTATTATAGTGTTATCCAGAGGACCTTTCCAAAAGATCAAAGATAAGGTAGAGGGTTAAACATCTAATTACAGTGCCCCATAAAAGGGGGATATCATAAAAGGAAGTTTAAAGGACCAGGGAGAAAAATAGTGTTAACACTAAGTGTTTCTTACAGGGTAAGATGAGTGAGGGTGCCATGGAAGAAGGAAGATAAAGACCAGCAAAGTGAGGAGGTGTGAAGTGTGTAGGACAACAAGTTTCTCAAAGATGATGAAATGGAAAGAGATTGAGCTGGTAGAGGGATCTAGGAGAAAAGTCATATGCTGAAAATGACAGGACTGGAAAAAGATCTTATCAGGGTGTGGATGGAAGGGACTTGATTGAAGTGATAGTGAAGAGAAGGGTGTAACAACTGCTGCTGAGAGAGAATGCATATATTGGTGACAGTCAGAAAAAAATTACTGGATTTGGGGGATACAGAGGATGAAGTGGCAAATTTGGAGACAGAAAGTATATGGTCTGGGAGGCAGTGGAGTCCAAAATAACTCCAGAGACGGACTGGAGTGAGTAGGAGAACATGATGAAATGGTAGTATGAGAAAAAGCAAGTTTCGTTTTTTGGGGGGGTTGGGTGTTTGGTTTATTTATTTTTTTTTTAGGCCAATGTCACTTTTAATATGATTACAAACCAAGTCGGTGACAGAAGTTGTGATATGGGTGTGACTCAGAGATGTAAAGACTGTTGATTAAAACCAAGCAGGTTGGGTCAGGGCCTAAAGGTGGAAACTGCAGAACCGCCACAGGTTTTTGGAAAGGAGAAAAGGGTCCCTGCATAGCAAGAAGCACTAATAAAATACCAAAGGAGCATTAGGACAATACTCTGGCGTCACAGGAGATTAAAATGTCCAGGAAGATGAGATTGTGGTATATAAATGGTGTCACAAGAAGTGTGGAGGACTCTGAGCTAGTCTAGATCTTGAAGTTTGGCCATTGGAGTCACTGAGGATTTTTGTGGAATTTATTTTAAATTAAGATCTTAATTCTGTAGCTGTGAAAGCTTCTGGTGAACTCTAACATGCTTCCTCTTCCCTCTGACAAGTGCTCGAGCGGAAGACTTACAAGGGTTACCCAGGATGAAGAGGATGAAAAATCCCCTTGGGGAGATTGTTTCACATCTACACTTAATGAAACTGGGTTGGAACTCTTTCTTGTTTACTTCTTAGCATAAACACCAATCCTTGTGGAAGACACCTTGCTGACCTTGCACCCACCCTGCTGAATCATTCTGCCAACTTACGATGTTAAGTGGGAGTAGGGTTATTCCCTAGGGAAGGATGGTCTAACTTGTTTCTTATTTGTGTGTCTTTAATTTTTGAAGAGAAAAAGTAAAAAGCTTTTCTTTAAGAGGGTCTATGTGACAAGGAGAAACTGAGCTCACATGTATGGAATAATATATCCCTCAACTGGAGGGATCTGTCATGTTTTCCTTCTGGTAGCAGCAATTTTTGCCTTTTAGCAGCTGTAACCGTAAAATTACAGCTATAGTCAAAAGGCTAAGAGCAAAGCACTCATCTCATGATTCTGAGGACACCTGATCTTCAAATGTTACTACTGAAGCTGAAGACTATGGTATCAAAAGAAAGAAATCAGTTTTTAATTTGAAAAATAATTTGCAGTGATTCTGAAGCATTTCAAGAGCCTGTTAACTCTTTAATGTTATGTTTACCATGTTTTAACTGCTGCTGTGGTTCATGTGCTTGTCTGGAACTTGTGGTTAATCTTTTGTCCACAAATCCTTGTCAACGGGGGGGGCGGAGGGGCGAATCACTCATCAAGCACAATTTTAGCAGCGCAACTCATTGTTTGGATGAAGCCCTCCCAACAGAAGAGTGCTTTTGTTGACTTTGCTGATGTTGTTCAGAGAAGTTTTGTTGCCGTGTCAGGGGAAAAAAATTCTCACGGAACTTACGGTGCCTGTGTAAGTTACAGGGATGCTGGTCTGTAATCTCAGCGCTGTCTGAGGTTTTCATTTAGCCCTATCTTTATGCAGACCTTCCTGTCTGCCTCTAGATGAGTTACTTTACCATGCCTATGCCTTACCTTTAAGTTGAATAATGTTTCCTTATCCCTGCCATTTTATGTCTAACTAAATTGTTACCAGAGCTGTGTGTTCCATATATGGTGGGTAGATCTTAATAATGATGTTACTGTTTCCTTTTCAAGGTAGAGTTCAAAAGCCACCTGCAACAGGGATTCAGCCAGGCTTATTTTTGATAAGAGCAATGCCTACCAACAGACCGAGACTTGAGGTTGAGCCTTATAAAAGGCTCTATTTAAGCCTGAGATGATGAAACTCAATGTCTGTGGCCAGCTGTAGAAGCTACGTTGGTCCTTGCCTTGTAACTTTCTTTTAAAGTAATAGTAGATGATGTAGTTGATGACCACAGGAAGATGAAGACACTATGGGTGGGATTCAGCTCACTTAAGATGGGATTTCTACAATGTAGACATTGATATCCAAGCTCCTTACTCATCTTTCAGTTGGTGAGGAGAATTAGGCCCTTTTAGGACACAACTCATCTTACCTATTCTAGATGCCTGCTTTAAGGTGCTGATTTCCTTTTTCTCCCTAGTGATTATAAAGAGAGTCTAGATGTCTAGCTCAGATGTCAATGTCTACAACAGGTCAGGAGAGTTGTCCTGCATGCCTGTAAGTCTAGCTGATCACTGCGTGATACGAAGGAGCATTCAGACAGGGCCCTGTGAGAGGGAAATTTAGCAGCAAGAGACATGTCTTTGGTCAAGCAGTTGAGTATACATGCTTGTATTCTGCAGGTCAGAGGGGTTTGTGGAAAAAGAGGCACTGAGAGGGAGAGCACCCCAAGGTAGGGTGAGAAGATAAATTAGAAGCAGTTCTGCATCTCTTCCACTTTCTTAACCAGAAAGAAATGTTTTTACGCCTCTGGGAATAAAGAGGACAAGTTCTTGAAACCAAGCTTTATCTGATGGAAGTGGTTAGAACAGGTCTTAGTTAATTCATATCTTTCTAGTAGGTGGAAAACAACCTTATATAATAAATATTATTCTTCTCAAGTAAATCTGTTAAGGTAATGAACCGTAACTCTTTTTTTTTTTTTTTTTTTTTTTTTTTTTCCCTCCAAGCCTTCGTGTGCTTGCCCTAACCTGATGGGGGTGTTGGCTTTCTTGTAAGTCCTACCATGTGGGTGGAACAGCAGTGCTCAGCTCTTAACAGGAGAAAGGCTTCGTTTGGCATGCTCCGTATCCTGCCAGCTCTGAGGTGTGAGGCTGGTGGTGAACTGGAGAGCCTGGGCAGGTTGAGGCTGGGTAGGTTGAATGTTCAGTGAGTGTTGTGGAGGGAGTGGCAGCTTGCATTGGCTGCGTGTTTGGTCCCGTCCTTCTTTGCAGGTGGCTTCAGGAGCAGTACCCACTGCTGCACCCCTGTTCTGCCAGTTGTGTGTCTGCCCCAAAATCCAGCACTATGAGAATATGAAGGGAAGTGTAAGATTTAGCTAAAACTCCTGTATTTAAAAGGGCTGGTGTAGTACTTGGATTTAATATAAACTCTTTTGGTCATGTGTTATTAAGAGTGTCACGTTTGCTCTGTGTTCTCCAATTCTCTGTTCCTGAGGAAAAAGTGTACTGGTTAACATAAACGGCTCAGTTTAGTTTTGGTACATGAATTATTGTAAGTAGTAAGTATCGAGCAAACTAGTGTGTACAAATAGTACATATTGTATGAAAAAGTGTATTCATTTATAAATGTAAAAATAAGATGCTGTCAAAGTGTATCAAAGTGTATTTGGATTATGAAGTACAGCAATCTGAGATGTGAATTGAATGTTTATACTGAACCATAGGAAGACTTGCATAATAGTTGGAAAAGTCTGGCAAACAGTTGTGTTTCTGTTTGCAAGCTAACTACTATTTTTACCCTTAGTTTTTATTACTACTTTTATTTTTTAATTCTATCCAAAAAGCGGGCAATTTTGCATTAAAACCAAACATTCACAAATGTTCCTTCCTGTTCTACTTCTGTTGCTTAGGAAGGACTAATATCTCCTACTGATCTAGACCTTGTGATGTCTGATGGATTGGGAATGCGATATGCATTTATTGGACCTCTGGAAACCATGCATCTTAATGCAGAAGGTAGGTAGTTTATATGAATATGAAGGGAAGGCTTACGTTGCACAAGACTCTGGAAATGTCATATAACAAAGCAGGTTAGGATTGCTGCAACTATGATTCATCTCTCTCTTTACTGTAATGATAGGAAAAGGAAAACTTATCTAAAACTTGAGGTCAGATGGAAATGGATACTGAGTATCCAGTTGTAAGTGATCGGATGAAAGATGACAAATCGTTGAAATGCTAGCTTCATTTTTTCCAGTATTTGTCCCAGTGCTTTGCAAACATTGCTGTACCCGTAGTTCAGGACTGTCTGAGTGTCAGGAAAAGAAAGTATTGAAAAAGTTCATCTGACAATCCAGCGTCAGCAGAACTGCAGTTTCCGTAGATGAGTACCTGGTTGGTTTTTTTGGTTTGGGTTTTTTTTTTTTCTGCCCCCAAGAATTCGTAGCAAAGGCTCAGGGTAAATATCGCTGGAGCTGGCTTGCTTTAAGCTGGCTTAGATCCTGAATGAAGTAAAATTGCTTCTGTCTGCAAAATACCATGTGCACAAAGTTGACTTGACAAAGCAATCAAGTAACAGTTCAACATCTATCTTGCATAATCGACAGATTTTTAGATGGTTTTTGAAATAGTACACATGAATCCCAGCTAAATAAAAAGAGAGTTGCATAAAATTAAATAAAAATTATGGATTAAGGTTACAAAGGTTTGAGCAATGAATTTAACAAAACATGCAAACTTCAAGAAGTGAAGATCAACTAAATAAATTTTCAGCTCTTTATGTTATGGGCTGTGTCTTTATTCTGGTTTTATATGGTCCCTGACGTGGTAGGCCTCTACTCCATTAGAGGATCTTTTAGGCACTGCTGCAATGCCTAATAATACAATAATAAAATAAAAATAAGAAACCAAAATCATAAAGTATCAGTGCAAATTAAAAGTGTTATTTTATGTCAACTTGTTGGTTAGTCACTTGGCAGAAACTTATGTCTCTTAAGGCTGACTAAGCAACTTTGACATGAATGTGGAATTGTGGATCCTCCACCAGAGTCTTTCAGCTTGTCAGTTTGGTTGTATATCAGTAAATTAAATGTCACAAAGTGTTTGGTTTTATGCATTGTTATGTAAACAATATCCATCCTCTAAATAGAGGCACCTTCCTAAAAGTTTCCCTCTTCTGATCTATTAATATCTGGGAGTGTCCAGTCCTCTCTAGAGATTTTAGGCTTACTCCATATAAACCATATACATTCTTTACATAGAACAGAACAGATGCATGTAGTACTCTCCTTAAGCACAGCAATGTACCTGGAACCTTGCAGGCCAGGGTTGTCCAGTCCTGCCCCCACCGCTCCACTAAGCTACCGTGCCGTCGTCTGCCGGAACCATCCATGCGCTAACTTGCTGAACTGCCTTTACTAAAACATAAACCAAAACAAAATGCTTGTTAATACCAAAAAATTTTTAATCCATTTTAGAGATCAAATCGTTCTTGTGAATCTTTTTTGTTTTTTTAATCTCTGTTTTAGACTCCTTAATTCTAAAACAATGTTTACTTGTGATGAATGGAATCATATAAGTCATCTGGGTTGGTTTTGATGCTCTTACTGGAGTGCCCTTTGGCATTTGATGTTCCATCATGATCCAGCTTAGCTTCCTTCCTCCCATCAGGAAGTAGTCATTGTTACAAAAACAATTCTGAAATTTTCCATCTCAAACCGGTTTTAGGTAATACATGCAACTGGTAAGTTGCTTATTCATGGCAGAGATTATCCAGCTTATAGATTTAATGCTACTTTCTGTTAGGAATTTTAGTATTCCAGATCAGAGGAAGAAAAATTATGAAATACTACCCGAGAAACTGATAAACCAGAAGAGTAGTCTTGTGGTGGGCTTGCAAAATACAAAACCAAAATAGACCTGTAGAGTTATTTTTACATTATATAATATTCTCAATTAAAAATAACCCTGAAATAACATATCTAGTCCACTTGTGGACTGGGCCACTTACACAAAAGCACTTTGTTGGCTTGTTCAGTAATTTGGATCATGGGAAGTATTGCTTCACTCCCAGCCTTGCAGGTGCATTGTCTCTGAGTCTAGAGCTGCTCCTCTTTCTGTTCTGGCAGGCTGACTCAGGCTGTCGCTCTCATCAGAGACGGTTTAAATCAAAATTGCTGATGTTAGGACACATGATGGCTTATGTTCATAGTTCCGTACCAGTGCCAACTTCTCTTTGGTTGCCCAATATTCCTTCGTGTGACATTGAATAGTATGGACCTCCTCTTAATTGCCCAGGACAACCCCCTCTGATGCATTGTTAATCCATTCATGAGTATTAGGAATTTTGAATATATGGCAGTGAGCCAGCAGCCTTGAAGATGGAATAAAATGACAGTGTCAAGTCACTAAAAGGAGCCAAAGCAGGAACAGCAGTTTGAGAACTGAATTGCAACAGACAGGAATGAAACTGCTTGGGGGGACAAAGCACATCCAAATTGTGTAATATTATAATGTTGATTACTGGTTTGAGTAAATAAAATCAATATTGATTTTGATTTCAGTAAGCTCTGTCTTTCAAGTCTGTCATCTTATGCTTTTACATGACAGCATCGCAACAGATGCTGTTAAGTCTTGTACAAGGAACATCGATAAACTTCACTAGAGTCGTTCTACGCCTTGACTTATCATGGGATTATGTTAACAGACACAACGTCCCTCCTGTCTATTATGTACCTGGCTATCTGTGAATATACTGAAGATGGTCCAGCCTCAGTAAGATTGCATCTCCTGTTTCTTGAACTGTCAGCTCCTTTTAAGCCCTTGCGAAAAATCATCTGTGAAACCAGAGGCTAGACTATCATAGACTGTGTTTTACATGTTCGCAGCAAAAGTTCTTCGTATATATTTCACAATTGGCTGTCTTAGATCAGTTACTTTATTAGTGGGTTATTTAGTGAGCTATAATTGGAATTTAATCTTGTTCTAAGCTGCTAATGTTAGCAGGAAAGCTGGATGGGGGGCGGTTGAAGGATCTTTGTTGCTATTTTCTCTCATTCATTTATAAAAAGACACCGTTCTAGGATGAAATTCTACTTATCACTTACTGTGGTATTCATACATGTGTCTACAGCAGTTGTGTGGAAATTGGGACTGATGTATGGTCCCTATAATATAAGTGTAAATATCCAGGAAGCTAGGAATGAGTCTTCATGGTCAAAATGGTGTTTGTCTTACTGGAAGTGGGAATGCTTGCTCGTCTTAGAAGCACCTGCCAGATGAATTGGTTTTGGATGATAGGAGCAGAATAATTGTGCTGTATGAAAAGCACAAAACATGAAAAGGAAGGAGGGAGGGATAAGCCGTAGTTCAGAGGGAAAACATTTTTCTGATCTGGCTAGGCAAAGCACAGCCAAGCATGTGTTTTAACAATGGCTGTAGACAGGCATGCTGGCTGCTTCAAAAGCAGAGATTATTTCCATTGCTATGGCCGCTGCTTTAATGCTGCCATATAGGGAGCAAACCAGGCTTTAACCCAGTTTGGGAGGATTTGTACCACAAGCTAGTAAGTGGAAGGTGTGAGAATCTCTAAGTTAAGGTCGTAAAATCTAAGAAAAGGAAGATTGCCTCCATTTCTGTCCAATCCATGTGTTATGTTTTAGGATAGTAAAATATCTCAACTTAAATCAGGAATACTTGTAAGAGGGTATTACGGAGATGAAATACCACAGTGTTACATAATCATGCAAACCCTCTTCTCTCGTGAACCCACCAGTTACTTCATACATGTTTACACACATTGAGTTCCCTTCCCAGTAGGCTGAAGAAAGCAGTCTGTAGTCCTTCTAGAACTGCTGTTTGCCTCTAGGCAGCTGCAGGGCTTTTCTGTGTCAAAAAGTTGGTGCAGTTGTGAATTTTTCAGCGTGCTGGCTGCTGTGCACGGGTTTCCTTCTATGGACTCTGAGGAGTGGACACTTTATGTCTTTATGGACACTTTATGACACTTTACAAGTGGTTCCCTCCACCTTCTGAAAGGAGCACGTGATTTTGCACAAGAATTCTTAATGCTTTGTTGCTCAAGTCATTATAGATGTGTCCTTCAGGATGATAGGATAGGATGTCCTTCAGGAGACATCTTGGTGCATCCTTCTCGCTTGTGCTAATGAAAGAATGTGTATGGTCACCACGTGGCTCAGACTGAGGAATTCATCCCAGATTTGAAACTGATCTACCAAAAGAAGTGGTTCATATTAACTCAGTTTAATTCCTTGATCCAGCTCACAGCAGTCCTGCATGAATTTTTGTGCATTGCTGTTGGGATGGTAACACAGGGATAGCAAGAATAAAACTTTTTTTGGTGCTACCACTGCCTTAGGGTAGTTGAAAGTATTCCTGCAACTACAGTCTAAATGAATTGATGTAGAATAGCAAGCGTCCTGTGAATTCACACCCTAACTAAGAGCATGCATCTGTGTTCAGACAGATCCTTGATGAAGACAGGATTACATTTAGAAAGTTTTCCTTGGAGCTGTAATGTCTAGAAATGTAATCTCTCTCAGCAAGGCAAAGGGGCTGGGACTGTTTTTTTTTCTCTGAACATAACCTAACCATGACAGATTCCTCCATGACGTTCCTGAAATATGCCCCTTCTTTTCTGTTCTTATCCATGCTCGTCTTCAATCTTGCCATGTGGAGCCTCTTCTTAGATTTTACCTGCTAAAACCCCACCCCGGTCTTTTCAAATTGTTGATGCTGTTACATCAGAGGCTTGACCATCTTGCCTACTCTTTTTGAGTCATAACAGTATCTTGTTATACTGCTCATCAGGTTCAAAGTCATCAAGTGAACACTCAGTGTCGTGAGGCACCCTCTGACTTTGGCGTGTTCCCTGTCCTTGCCAATAACACTTGCTCCTGTCTATTGTTTCCTCTCGCAAATACCTTGGTACCTTCCTTGTTTTGCCCCATGTGTAGTGTCCTTGCCAGACTGGTTTACCAAGTTTGCTTGCTTGCATCCTT